TGTCGTCGGTTGCCGTGCCATCACTTGGAGAGCCCTCCGTGGGTGAAGCGGGTGCCTAACGAGGTCCATCTTACTTAACGATCCCAGATCCCGCTAGGGGAGCGAGCCGCCGAGTCGGCACAACGGCCTTTATACTTTATGGGCAAGGCGGCAGGAAACCACCTGCCCGCCCCGTGAGACTCAATCTTGCTCAAGGCTATGTAGCCCTCTCATCTTCCAAGGAATCGACCCAACGACGTAAGTCCTTGGTCCCAAGGTCGCCAAGGGCGGAGGTCACCTGGCGGAGCCAGCCGCTGCATCGTACGGCCAGCGGTCGAGTAGGCGCTGCATGTCACGGCCACTCGAGGGGAAGTGACTCTCCTTCAGAAGATAGAGCATTTGATAGTTCCCTTCGTTGTACATTTCCTTCAAACGTGAAAAGGCGTACTGGTGATTGTCATGGTCCTCGCTGTGAAGGTGTGGCATCAATTCCGTGGATATGCAGGGAAGTTGGAGGCCGGGCCCGAGGCCCCCTTCTCTGAGGAACTCCTCCGCCGCAGCCTTCCAACGGTCCTGCGCCCTAGGGTGCCCCAGCCTGAACCAGGGGCGTGTGCCATCCGGTGGTGTCTGTGCCCGGCTCTCCTCCCGGGCGACCAACCGCTGAAGGAGGACCATCGCTTTGGCCTCAACTGCGTCGAAGTGCGCAAAGCGCCACAGGCGGGTCGGGAAGTAGAACTTCTTCTTCTGCGGCCCACGAATCCAGTAGGCGACAACCGCTCGGAGATCCCAGCCTTCGGAGGTGGCCGCAGCGCGAAGACGCCACAGGGCGCTGTGTAGTAAACCGGCAGCCTGAATCGCAAGCGACGGCTGAGCTTGTAACCCCAGCGGAATGTCCGCAAGTGGGAAGAGCAGTCGCAAGGTGCCGCGATAGGAGCCAGGATACGTAAACATGCGCGGTTCGAACTCACCGCGTCTGGCCGGAAGGAGTCCGTTCTCAAAGCCCGCCATCAATCGGTCAGCAATTGCAATCTGGGGACGGCCTACCAAGTCAGCTGGAACCTTGCATGTGACTCGCACCTCAATGTGTTGGCCGTCACGGGCTGGGGTAACGTTGGTGAGCTGCAGAAGTGGGGCGGCCGAAGGGTCGTCGGCTAACGCTCGGGTGAGGAAGAATAATAGTTGTACAGGCAACAGCACGCCGCAATGTAGTAGTGGTGTGCCCTGTGTCGTCTCGACACTCGTGCTGCCTCCCCCAGTGGTGCGCCGCTGGCTAGAGCCAGCGCCCCGCCGGCTATTTGTCGGCAATGGGTCTTGCTTGGCAGTGGGGTCGCGCTTGGGAGCCAAGGACATCTGCACCAGGCTGCCATCCCGGACGGGGGATTTCCGTCCCGCAAGAGCCCGGGGAAGCGAGCCCTTAAGTCCCGCGAGCTCATCAAGGAGCAGCCACCACCAAATCTCAGGACGGGCTAGTTCATACCAGGAGAGGTCGAAAACCTGTCCTTCAGGCAGGCGTAGAACTGGGTCACAAAATTGCGCCAGTGTCACGGACACGGCAAGCAGTGGCGTCAAGCAGACGCGAAAGGCTTCACTCTCAGTGCAGCGCCGCAACATGAGGGCTCGATCGGCAAAATCCACGACTTTCACCCCAAAGTTCTGAGGGCTGAGCTTGACTTCACAAGCGGGCAGCGACAAGGGGAGAGAAAGCAGGGTAAGGCAATCAGTGGAATTGGGCAGCAAGTGCTGCAGTGCCCCGGCACATTCTATTCCATCGACCGGCTGCTGAAGTCTGCCCCTAGCTTGGTAACGCCGAAGCGTGTCATGCTGCTCTGCAAATTCATCCTCATCTTCTGCCGGTACACACCGGCTGGCAATTGAAGCAACTCCCGGCACAAGGCGACAAGGCGGGGTTTCGACTGCGTCCAACAGGGCCGCCACACGTTGGTTCCACGTAGCGCTAGGCGCAACAGGAAGGGAGACAGCACAGCTTTGACTGCGCAGCTCAGCGGTCAGCGCCGGATCCTCTTTGGCAGGCTCCCCTGCGTCCGGGTCCGGGCGGACCTTTCCCGCCGGATCATAGAGGGCGCGTGGAAGGCCCGTAGTAGCAACCGGCGGTAGCAAGACCGCTTCAGGGCAGGAATGGCGTATCTGCGACGACACATAGCGCTGTAACCTCCCAAGCAGCGTGGTATTTATCGTATCCGAGGCAATAGCATAAAGGTAATATGCTCCCGGCACGGCAATGACTATCGACTCCGATGCACCGGCTTGGCCCCGGCACACGGTCGCTGGCTCCGCGCAAGTCATGTGTGACCCGATGAGAGACCGGTGGTGAGTGGAGCGGAGTGCACTGTATAGCCTTTTGGGGGGAGGCACGCCCCCTCCTTTGTGCTCACGAAGGCGATGGAGCCCGAATCTCGGCGGTGTAGTAAACTCCAGCAATCCGAAGATGGGGCAATCGGTGTCGATGACCGGATAGAACGGTCGCGCCGTGATGGCTTGGCCACGAGGTCCACTGTGCTCAAAGTCCACACCCCGAAGGAGGAGCTGAACCGGGTAGCCATCCATGCCACTGTGCGCTGCAACGGCTGTAGCCTCGCAAAGCGAAGGAACGCGGTTCACGGACCATCGTTCGTAAAACTCCTGGGCGGTCTCCTTATCCTCACGTGGGGGGCTTGGTAGCCCAAGCTTGGCGAGCCCATAAGCTCTGTACAGCTCTTCCCATTGAGCGTGGGTGTGATGAAGGACAGAGTGGAGCTCCAATGCAGCGACAATGCCCCACCAGTGAGAGGGGGAGGCGATGATCAATGCGGCATTCGCAAGGATGGCAGCCGAAGCAGGCTGTCCCTCCTGTTGCCCCTCATCAATCACAATGATATGCGCGCTGCTGAGGAAGGTTTTAACCTCGCTGTAGGAGGCATAACGGAGCTGCAGCGCGGCGGACCCCTGCGTGAGCAGCAGCATGTGAGCACTGCTAACTGAAGGGGAGGCAAGACGTGCGCTGCGCCCCGTTGCTCCTGGCTGAGTCGTGGCAATGTCCCCCAGCCCTGCCGCCTGGTGTTCGGCAGCTTCAGTGAAGGGCACATGGTCAAAGGACGGGTCTATCATTTCAGCATCGCCAGAGACCCTCCGTACGACTACGAGTGGGCGCAGCCAGTCTGGGGCATCGGCTAAGAGGTTGGAGGCGATACGCACAACCGCAATGAGCGCTGAATGCTGCTGTGCTGTCCAAAACACAGTTTGCTCCAACACAGCATCCAGGCAGACCAAGGCGCACCAGAGGGAAAAAGTTTTGGAAGATCCAGCACAGCCTAAGATGCTGAGCGAGCTGCGGCCTTGTGCCCGGGCGGCCAGAATGGCCGAGATGTGCCCACTCAGGAGGCCATCCGGGCTGTTGAGCAGCTCATCAATGTGGCGGCAAAATGTTTGTCCCATCAGGGCGGCCAAAGTGTGCAACTCGGCTGGGATCAGCGTCGCAGGCAGACGCCACTACTTGCAGAAAGGCTCCCGAGGATTGTGGCTTTTAGCCACTGGATGGAGAGCAAGGATGCGCTTTTTGAGCGTCACAAAATCGGCCGGCTTGAAGATAGGGGCAGCTGGGAAGTGAGGAGCACGGGCGGCCGTCTCCACCGCTTGCAAGAAGGACAGCACAAGATGCACTTCAGAGGCGAAGTGGCTCCGAGGCCTTGGCGTAGGTTGGGTGCAAGGTCGGACAGGCATGCCAATGGCCAGGGGAACACGCGCCTCAGGCATTTTGAGCACTTGCAGAAACACATCGAGAGCCCCGCCTACCTTAATGCACGACAGACTGTGAAGGGAAAGGTCCCAGCTGCAGACGTGGCCAGGTTGTGGGGCGGCCCCAAGAAAGGAAGGCCACTGTCGGATGAGCAAGAGGGCAGCCGTGGGGTTAAGGCGGTTTTGACGTCGTTCGATCTTGCGTTGTTCGCGGGTTTTTCCGCGGAGCCGGTCAGGAACTATCAATTCCACAAAGACAGCCAACAGCTGCCCTTGACGAAAAGCTAGCCTCAGAAGGCAACCCTCAGAGGGGGGCCGGTTGCCGCTTTGTCGATGAGAGAACCAGCCAGTGTTCTCCGATGGCGTAAAGCCATGGGGACACGATAAGCCAAGCACGTATGTGCCAAAGCTGAGACAGTCCTCCACCTTCAGCACCACCGGTAGCCCCTGTGCGAAGCGCCTGGTGGTGTCCTGGTGCGACATCCGACGGTTCTCCTGCCCAGTATCCTCGAGCGCAGCGCCCTGGCTGTAGACATGGAAGTGCAGGAAATCCACGACACGCTCGAGCGGCAGCTCACCGAGAGACGTTTGCACTGGTGCCGGCAAAGGTAAGCTAACCGACTTATTCTCTTCATAGCATCGCAGCCGCACTTCCTGAATGATCCAGGTCCCACCACGGGCCCAATGTATCTTAATGGCCCAATGACTCTTATTGGCTCAATGACTCTTATTTGCTGACCATGGATTTTGGCCATTCGTGGTCGTAAGGTGCATTGCATTTGTTGAACATATGTTGCACGAGATCGAGCAACGTTGCAAAGCAGGATCATATTTTTTGGATCAAATGCATGGAACTATTTTTTTTTGCTGGATTAACTACTGCTTCATGAAAATTTCATGGCCATGCCGCACAATATGCCGCACATGTGGACATGCATATCGTTGGCAACAGTATTTTTTGAGTAGGGTTGTATTTATCTGACAGGCGTATATATACATCTACAAGCATGTGATATATATATATGTATATATATATATACAAGTGTGTGCCGTGTGTGTGTGTGTGCACGTGTGTCGGTGGGTCGTTGTGCAGAGCTCCGCGAGAGAAGTGCAAGATCAGTTGCTGTCATGCCAGTTCACTGCAGATTATAAAACCTCCGGAAATCGCAGGTTTTTGAGATCGAAGCATGGGCCGGTCGCTACATGCTCACGCATGCATGCATGCAGTAAGGTGTGCACCTGTCTTCACATCGATCGATAAGAGACCATAGGATCTTGCAAGTGCAGCCATGGCAGACCGTCAGAAACGGGTGAAGGAGCTTACGGAGCACATCTACCATGGTCTGGACCTAGATTTCGTTCGGAAAACCGGTTCTTTGTTTGCTACCTCTACTTTGCGACACGCAGCCACTCGACAACAATTCTCCTTCATGAAGGATTTTCGGCGTCAATATGACGGTCGCCTCCTGACCGAGCGAGTCACCACCCATGTTTGCACCCAGCTTCTTGACGACTACCAACTGGAGATCCCGACAACTCCGGGGCACAATAAACGGTCTTGGATAAAGGACACCTCCAAGGCGCTATTGGCCCTACTTCAGAAGGCTAGGAGATCTTACTGTGCCATGGACAACATGGAGACGCAACCATGGGCCCTGGAGGAAGATGAGGACTGCATGTGTGTCTAATTATATAATTGTGTGCCTGTGTGTGGGTGTGTTTCCCAAATATTCGCATGCATCCACGACCCGAGGATTCGCAGCTTTTGAAGCGAAAATCTTCGAGTCAGATCTCCGGTGACGATGTGGCTTGGAATCGCAGTCTATATATATATGTATATATAGTCGTTGCATCGATCATTCGCATGGATCTAAGTTTTCTGAGATCAAGCCCAGCAAGCGGCTTCGAATTCGGTCGAAGACCCCTCCGAGCGAAGTGGCTTCTTCGATCCATCATTCTTGAGTGCGAGGGTTTTTTCCTGGGCGAGGGATTTGCTTTAAGTGCAACCGAGGAAGAGGAACAGAATTGCAAAAGCGCCATGGATACTTCGGCTTGTGAGTTCTTGTGTGCATATAGGGTTGCATGAGTCGGTCCAGAGTTGCAACCATGCATCCGAGGATCCGAACAAGGGATGGGTGTGGAAGGAAGACTACGGTTGGATCCGGGAGGAGCGACATGGAATTCTTGCGATTCGGTTCTGGGTTCGCCTGGTTTGTTGTACGCAGGAGCCGGCTTCACATGGTGGTGAAGAGGCCGGGGCAGTGATTTCAATGGTTTGTGCTTTGCCAAGGCTTGCATACACATTGTGTGTTTTCAGTGCCAAGGATCCAGACGAATGGAATGCTGCTGATATGGCTGATCCCATGGCTTCTTATTCTTGGAATGGAATTATACATTAATGATCCCACGCATGGCTTCTTGGGCACTCTCTTCGAAGCATCATTGAGGCATCGAGTCCCATTAAAGTATAAACCCGAAACCCCAAACCCAAACCCCAAACCTTGCATCCGAGGAATGGGTCTGGAAGGATGGTGAATGGATCGATCCGATGTCGATCTCTTCGAGCGACCAGGAACCATTGTGATCACCAGGGATCGTTGGGAGCATTGTGAGTTTGCCGATTATAATTGTTTCTAAAGCCGATGACTCGCAGGCCCTGGCTGATGATGGCCATGATCGCGGCAATGGTTGGACCCCGCAGGAGGAGGCCAATCCGGATCGGCAGTGCAGGGATCGGTTTTCTTCGCCCTGCAGATATGCATAACCCTGAACATTAAACCCGAAACCGTACTGTATTCACTAAGAAACAGTTGATGTATATATATATATATATATACTGTTGCCAGGCACACCTTGCCCAAGTCCTTGAGGAAAGTGCTGGTGCCGAGGTTGGGTCTGAGTTAGAACTATATACCATTCTACCTCGTATGTAGATATATATATATATATACATTCATGTCGGCCACAGGCACCGAAGGATGCCCAGCACGACAAGATCCGTTTCGCTTCTCGCTTGATTCATGTGTATAGCTTAAGCTGTGGTGCGGGGATTTGGGTGCCCATGCATGGTGAGGATCCGAAGTGCCCTTCGGAGTGGGCGATTAAGGATGAGGCTGGTGGGGTCGTTTGTTTTGTTGAGGTGCTTTCTCTAAATTATTGACGAGATCGTGATTTGAGGCGACTGGAAATGGGGCCGAGGATCCGGTGGAGGACAACATCCGTTTCGCTTCTCGCTTGATTCTTGTATATAGCTTAAGCTGTGGTGCGGGGATTTGGGTGCCCCATGGTGAGGATCCGAAGTGCCCTTCGGAGTGGGCGAAGGATGAGGCTGGTGGGGTGTTTTGTTGGGGTGCTTTCTCTAAATTATTGACGAGATCGTGATTTGAGGCGAGTGGAAATGGGGCCGAGGATCCGGTGGAGGACACTGATGCTTTACCAAAGCCTTTTGCTTAAACAAAAACTAAACCCTAAACCCCAAAACCTGAAAATTAAACCTTAAGTAAACTCGTTGCTTCTTTCGGTTCGCACAGGACAATGGAAAGAGAAATGAATGGACGGAAGAAGATGCAGACCCTTGGATACGCATCGATCATTAATGCAGATTGACGGTTGTAGTTCTGAGCCTATGATCTCGCACTCAGGGGTATGGCATTGGCGAAGCAGAGTGGCCAGATGATGAATTTGGTATGCATCCAATTGTTGTCGCTTGTGTGGATTCCAAATACACGTTTCAACCGTGATGCTAAGGAGAGGGTCGAGGGCGACGAGCCAAAGAGGGAAGACCAGCAGGAAAGCTGGGAGGAGGCTTGGAAGTGTTGGTGTGTTGGTGTTAGTGTTGTTGTTGCTGGTGGTGGTGGTGTTCTTCTGCAGCTTCGTTGTTTCTTCTAAGTTGGCCAAGGACAACGAGTCAGTGAAGATCGAAGACCATGAGGAATGCTGGGAGGAGGCTTGCAAGTGAGGTTGTTATTGATGATGTTGCCAAGCTTCGTTGTTTCTAGTATATCACCCGAGGACGACAAGGAGCCAAAGATCGAAGACCCCGAGGAGGAATGCTGGGCTGACGAGGCTTGCTGTGAAGCTTCATTGTTGCTTGTGTACCCCACAATAATAATTCCGAGTACCCGGGCAAGGAGCCAAAGATCGAAGGCCACCAGGAGGAATGGTGGGCAGAGGAGCAAGCTGAAGCTTCATTGTTACTTGTCTTTCCCACAATAATAATTCCGAGGAGCCGGGTGAGCCAAAGATCGAAGACCACCAGGACGAATGGCGGGCAGAGGAGCAAGCTGAAGCTTTATTGTTACTTGTGTTTCCCACAATAATAATTCCGAGGAGCCGGGTGAGCCAAAGATCGAAGACCACCAGGACGAATGGTGGGCAGAGGAGCAAGCTGAAGCTTTATTGTTACTTGTGTTTCCCGCAATAATAATTCCGAGGACCCGGGTAAAGAGCCAAAGATCGAAGACCACCAGGCGGAATGGTGGGCAGAGGAGCAAGCTGAAGCTTTATTGTTACTTGTGTTTCCCCGAGGACCCGGGCAGCGAGCCAAAGATCGACGACCTCGATTGCCGGATCCAGAAGGCTTGCCTCTGTCGTCGATTGTGATGCTTCCTTGCTTCGATTAGACAACAAATAAACTCGCCATGTTGGCCGAGGGCAATGAGCCACAGATCGAAGACGCCCAGGAATGCTGGGATGTCGAGGCTTGCAACCTCAACCCCTAAACCCTTACACCCATAAGCCTAAACTAAACTTCGTTGTTTCTCGTGACACTCGCAATCTTGCCACTGTCTTCCCGTTCGCCAAACAGGAGAAGGAAGCCTGGCCGGCCGATGATGGTAAGGCTTGCTGTCTGTAAAGGTTGTGCACTAGAATCCGTATAAGAGCCAATCGTACTGTGCCGAGGGCAGCGGATCCGTGAAGGAAGAGCCATGCGAGGTGGATCGATGGGATTGTCGCCGACCGACAATTTCACGCATGCATGCCCCCTTGCCAGGCCGCATGGTGGAACCAAGCTGAAGCTTTGTCGGGCTGGGACGAGGTGGGATCCTCCCGAAAACCCAAACCCTAAACCCCATGAACCCTTAAACCGTGTAATTGTAAACCCAACACCCTACGATTGTTCCTATGATCCCAAATCGAGGCGACCTAAACCCTGTAGCCCTATAATCCTTTGTAAACCCAACACCCTACAAATGTTCGTGTGCTACCAAACCGAGGCCGTCGCTGAAAAGGATGATGCAACGGCAAAGGCCCTGCTGAAAGACATTCAAGATTTGGGAGATGATTTCCTGCGAGCCGCTCGATGTATAAGGCACACACATATAAAGAAAATCAATAAATATATTTATACATAGATATATGTGTTAACTCTTACTTATTTAGTTATATACATATACTCACAAAACACTTTATATGTATATACATATATATATATAATTTACATTGCATGCATACATGTGTGTACACATGCATGTTGTGCTTTCTGTGATCACCATGCATTTCCTAACTTCACGAGCCCATGCACCCATGTATTGCACGCAGATGGGTGAGATTGCGGAGCAGAGGGCAAAGGATGGCCAGGCCCACATTGCCTGGGTCGCAACTCGCCCGACCGAGATGCCGATTCTTTTCCCCAAACCCTATAGCCCTATAGAGCCCCATGAATCCCTTCTCAGGAAGATGAGCTGCAGTATTGAAACAAGCCAAAGGCCGGGCCAAGCCGTGTCACCAGTGGGTCACATGTTGTGTAGGTATACGTGCAATTAAAGCATGTACAATGCTGGTAAGCATATGATGATCATACTTACAGATATACATATATATATAGAAATATGTATCTATGTATATACACACATACATGTGCATGTACACACATAGAAACCCGTGCACATGTGTGCACGTGTACATATATATATATACACATACTTTCACGTTGATATATATATATATATATATATACATGCATGGCACACACACACACGCACACATCATGTGGACACACACATGCATGTTTATTGTGGTGTCGCAGTCTTTGCAAGGTCAATGAGCGAGAGAGGACGACAGATGGTCCCCCGGCAGCTTGGACAAAAATCAATATTCAGCTGCTGCGAAAAGAGGGATATGTAGCTCAGGAGTTCCATCTCGACGAAA